ATGCATCCGTTAACCATCACTGCACTACTGGTGTTCACGTACAGTGCGCAAATGGCTTTAACAACTGCTTCCGGGATTCCATAGTGTCTAAGAATAGCAAACATGACCTTTCTGTCTATTGAATCGAACGCCTTTTTAAAATCTATGAACGTGATGTTCAGTGGAAGCTGGCCATCTTTGAAGCCCTCCATGATCCTCCGGAGAATGTGAATTTGTTGTGCACAGCTCCTGCCTTTCCGGAATCCTGCTTGGTTACTCCGCAGGATGGGATCTATGTAGTTCCTAATTCTGATCAGTAGAATCTTGTTATAGACTTTAGCAGCTATAGACATAAKCGATATTCCGCGGTAGTTAGTCATCAGAGTTAGATTCCCCTTCTTTGGCACAGGGACAATGCTGTTAGTGATCCACTGGTCTGGCGGAGTCTAGGTCGTAAAMACTTCTTGGATGTGGGTATCTTGGTTGGGCTGGGCGTAGCCTACTGTAACAAAGAAGAAAGAAGACAATGGAGTTAAAAAATGATTTTGGWGCAAAAGAGATTAAAAATTCGATCTTTAACAATGATTTGTGTGTGAATTGTATTAAAAAAATATGGACAGGAGACCTTTATGGGCATTTAGCTGCAAGTGAGCAGTTTTAAACCTTATAAAGGACAGAGGCAAAAATTTACAGTGTGGCTACTGAAACTGGGGCCACCTAGAGAATATAAAATCCCACAATTTAGATTGAAAACAAAGGATTCAGACTAAGGAAACCTTATCTCATAAAGCTTTAGTTCTTTACAATATCACTGATCATTGTTTTACCTTTTTTAGCCTTGTTTCTATCAAAATTGTGATTATTTTACATTCTCTAGGTGGCCCCGGTTTCAGTAGCCGCACTGTAAAGTATATTTTGCTAAAAAAAATCAAGATAAAATATTATTTTAAGACAAACTCTAAGTAAATTTCATGCAAGACAATTKTTTTGCTCATATAAAGATGCGGTTACAGCATTGATTTTCATTGTTTGCAGTCATGGYGCAATTTAAGCCTAAAACAACAATTCACCATTTACTTGCAGAGTAATGAGGTAGCTGATTCATATCACATGGAGCTTGAAGGTCTGAAGAGGGGTTTTGATTATTTAACAAGCAGAGACATAACCATATCAACCCTTATTACTGACCGACATACTGGTATCAAGAAATACATGAGAGAAAATGAAAAAGAAGTTATTCATCAGTTTGACTGTTGGCATCTCTCTAAAAGTAAGCACCTTTTAAAAAAATACTTTTTACAGGGTATAATAGGATTGTTTCTTTAGAAACAACGATGCAGATCACATTAGTGTACTACTWGTTACCATCATCTTAGTTTCAAGAATGATTATTGCAATAATTGCTAATATCAAAGAAATATAAAACATTCAGCAGTTTTTAATTATTATTTTTTCAACAGACATAACTAAAAAAATTGAAGCTATTGCTAAAAAGAAAAACTGCTCAGAGCTTCTCACCTGGAAACAAAGTATCTCCAATCACCTTTATTGGTGTGCTGCAACAAGTGGAGGGAATGAAAAGTTGGTTGAGGTCAAGTGGTTATCCATTTTAAACCACATATGCAATATCCATGAAGGGCATGGCACATTGTTTCCAAAATGTGAACATGGTGATCTGGAAGAAGATAGACTCTGGTTAAAAAAAGGTATTTTGAGTAAAAGTACCAGTGACTGCTAATGCAGACTTTTAGTTGGGCAGGGTGGSCCAATCAGCAGTTAAGTTAGTATCTGGAGAGGTCCTGATAACACTGTTTCCATTTTATTGAATTTATGAAACTTTTTTTTACAGGAAGTAAAGTATACAAAGAATTGGAAGCACTGTTAAACAAAMMGTCACTTCTCAAAGATATCGTAAAATTATCTCCATCACACCAAACATCCCTTGTTGAGGTTTTACACARAATTGATGTGTACTTTGCACCTAAGAATACCCATTTCTTCTATCCAGCCATGAAGGCAAGGTATGCTAATACTATGAACAATCATTACTTGTAGTTTTKTCAGAATCAAACCCTTCAAGTTCCATATTTTAAAGTACTTTGAACTATATATTTTTACAAGTTCAAGTTGACAAGCCTACTGTATAATAAATCATAGAGCGGATTTCGTATGAGTGGGACACCGTTACCACACGGTTACCGCACAGTTACTGGGCCTGGCCTGCACAATTTTGGTGAACCAGTGGGGCACTAGAATGTGGTTACAGTACGATTACGGTCACAGTACAGCACCGTCCGTTTCCCACTCATACGAAATCCGGTCTATTCCTAATATGTCTTTTTTAGAATGCAACTTGCTGCTCTACACTTCAATGAAAATATTRACAAAGATCAGAGTATGATTATTGGTGGTGATCATGAAGGGGAAGGTCAATGGTTGGTTTCATACCCAAAATACAAGAAGGGAGGTGCAGTTGCCAAGAAAGTTAAAAAGCCCTGTACATATGGTCAGTATGACTAATAATATGTAATCTAGCACAAAATGTGAATATTGAAGATAGAAAATATTGAAGTGTCACAAAAGTCAAATATATAATATGTACCTTTGCTTATTTTGCTGTTTTGTTATAGAATACGTCAATAGATTACTGGCAGCTACCATTMAAAGAAGGGAAGACTTTCCATCATACCAAGCTGCAAATAGAGACGTGATGGTCACCCTTGAAGCAGTACCTGGTCCTTTGTGCAGCAAGTTCACCAGAGTTGATAAGGCAGATGCAGTACAACGGCATTGCAGTAGATTTAACGTCTAATGAGCAAATTCAAAACTGTTATGATAAATATATTCAATAGAAAGTGTTGTAAAATTTCTTACCAGGATGTTGTACACCCAAAATGTCCATTGCCGATTGTCATGGCCAGCCTTGAAGCAGTACCTGGCCCTTTGTGTGGCAAGTTCACCAGAGTTGATAAGGCAGATGCAGTACAATGGCATTGTAGTAGATTTACTTTTTTTTTTTGTTTTTTTATTTTTTTATATTTTTTTGGAGAGCATTTTAGTAGATTTACTGTTTTTTTTTTGCTTTTTTTTATTTTTATTTTTTTAGAATTACTAGTGAGCAAATTCAAAACCCTTATATATTCCATTCTCACTAGGAAAAGTTTCACGGATTTTGTTCACAGCACAAGTAGGAATAGGGATGCGGATCTTTCTCCCAAGTTTCTTGTGAACCCAAAATGTCCACTGCCGATAAGCAACATATCTGTATGTGCTGCAAAAAAAAGAAATCTACATCAATTTTTTTGTAAAAGAATGAAATATAATAAATTAAAATCAAAATAATAATTTAATAATAGAGCGGATTTCGTATGCGTTGGAAACGTACGGTACTGCACTGTGACCGTAACCGTACTGGAACCAAATTCTAGTGCCCCACTGGTTCACCAAAATTGTGCAGGCCAGGTACTGTAACTGTGTGGTAACCATGCGGTAATGGTGTCCCACTCATACGAAATCCGCTCTAATAGAAAAAAGATATAATTAACAATAAGTTCAAAATTTTAAAAATGACTGACAGAGGTTCCTTGGTTTAGGAGAGGTGAAGAGTGCTGTCAGTAGTTCGTGTCTATCATCATTTCAATTCTTTGCAATGTCATCTCCCAAGCTTTATATTTATATT